GTGGGGTAGAAAGGTTTGGGGATTGACCGAAAGTACCGCGTCCGCCGGGCTCGCCACGAAAAGCAGGGGTGGCGGGCGCCGTGGCCGGGCGGGCAACTGCCGCCGCAGGCGGCGGCGCCGGCGGCGCTGGGAAGAGCGAGGACGGAGCGGTAGCGGCACCGCCGCCGCCGCCGGGCAGAGGGCCCCCGAGAGGGTTAGAGGCGGCGTTAGAGTCGGCTGCGGCCGCGAACTGTGTACAGGGGGAGGGACAGGGGGGCGACGTCCTACGTGCGCGTGGCCCTATTCTTTGCGGGACAGCCCCAGCTCGGAACCGAGGGGGGTACGGTGGAGAGGCCGTCGGGGGGGTGGGGTTGGCGTCGGGGCAGAGTCCGCGAAGCGCGAGCCCTGGCCTGATGGGTGTGAGATCCCCCGCTGGCGATGACGTCGGCGATCCCGTCATCGGGAGCGGCGCTGCGGGGGCGGGAAGGGGAGACGACCAGCTGCTGCGGGATGTTGATGATCAGGTGTGGTTTGTTGCCGGCGGTGTTCGTTTGTGACGGCGGTGTCGCTGGTGTTGTTCGTCCTGGCATTACGTGTGTTTTCGGTCCTCCTAAACTTACCCCTAAACGTACCCCACCCCCACCCCCACCCTCACCCCCACCCCCCGCGCGCGCGCCCGCCGTTTTGTGTTCTTTTCCAACGGCCTTCGCCTCCCTGTGGCAACCCGCAGCAGCTCACGCACCCGACGGAGCCTTCCTCTAGCTCCTCCCGCCACCTCACCGAAGGCTCGTGGGAGATGAACTTAGAGGCACCCCCACCCGAGACAAAGGAACATGCGGCGGAACCCCCCCTTGACGCCGCCGGCGCTTCGGAGACCAGATCGGCCGGCGGCGATTCCCCCCCGACGAAGGGCTCGACAGCGGTAGGGCCCGGCGGGAATGGGCCGGAGGCCGGTAGCCTGTCAAGAGCGGCGACGAACAGCGCAGCAACGAAGAGCAGGGGTAGCGGTAGTAGCACTAGCGGCAAGCAAGAGGGGGAAGACTGGGGGGCGGCGGCGGCGGCTGCGCGGCGGTGGCCCGAAGGAACGGACGGGGATGTCGCCGTGCAGCTCGAGTCTTTGTCGCTGGACGATCAAACCCCCACTACCACTTCCTCCGCAGCCGGTATGCCCAGTCAGGTTCAGGGGATTAGGAGTGGCTCGGCGGACGACAGCGCTGCTGCCGGGGCTGTT